GTGGTTTCTCCTGAATTCAAATTCGATTTCTGGTGATTTGTTCTGTGACTTATATTTGTTTGAGGATATGCTTTTCACTATTTATATATAAATAAAATTAACTGCTATTAGTGCAAGAGTCTTATTAAATCAGCTTGGTTATAATCATGAGAGTTGATTCTATGTTATTGAAATTTTTATGTGTAATCATTTAGAGATAGAATCCGAGTAAAATTATGAACAGCTGAAGGAGGCAAGCAAAGGCAAACCACCATGCTTTGGTCACCACCAGACTTAACTCCTCCTCCTTGAGGTAACAACACACAAACCTGTGGTGTAGGCCTTAAGTCAATTGGTCCTGCGTAAACGGGTTTACCCCATCCAAAATCCGCAGTCTCATACATTTCAAACCGAGTCCACTGAGTTATCATTAGCTTCCCACCAAACTCTAGCTTCTTTGGCCTCTTTACCTCTACGTAATCTAACGTAGATCGCAAGTAGTCCTCTGTAACCCTAACCCTTGCCTCTTGAACCAGACATGTTGTCTTCGAAAGAGAATCGTTCATGAGACTGTTGACAGTGCTCATAGCGCAAGCCAAACAGACCACATTGCCATAAAACCCTTTCCTCAACTTCAGGGTTTCGAGTTTCGTTCTTACGTTGACCGAAAACGTGAGCCTGAGATTGTATCCCAATGGCTTCACATCTAGTGCTTTGACCCATGATCTCCATATATGTGCAGCCATTGCCTCGAACGAGCTGCAAACTAAGCTTGGATCTTGTCCTTGCGCAATGCTTTTAACCCGACTCTGAAACTCTTTGCTTATCCTGTAACATTTCTGCAATGGCTTTGTTTCCCACAAAGAGTTCGTCAAATTCGACCTCTCTTCAATAGGAAGATACTCATGATGCGGGTATTTCACCATTGGAGGGTTTCTTGGTTTGAAAACCTCTCTATCCCAAACAGGCTCAGGATCTGCAATCAATTTCCCGGTTTTCGTTGTAGCAGCCCACGAGGTGAGAAACTGCATAGCTCCAAAACCATCGCAGATACAATGGCAGAGTCTAATCCCAAGGCTGAATCCCCCACAGGTGAAAAACGTAACTTGAGCTATAAGTAATGGCATTTCAAGGATTTTGTAAGCTTCTTCTTCCGGGTCTTGAAAGATTAATGGTAACCAAGCTGGGTTAGGCACTGTAAGATCTCCAAGATCAGCTAAAGCCATTGAAGAATTCGCCGAAACCATTAAAGCACCTTGCTCTTCCCCAAAGAAAACTTCTAGTTTCCCATTATCCACTTCCCTTAACCTACCAGAGAGTGGATAATACGGAACTAAAACCTCACCAAGAGCATCTCGAAGCCGTTTCATTACCAAACATTCTCGAGTTTCAGGTTGATTACCGGTTGATCGATAGAAATAAACGGAAGGAGTGAAGACTCGTGCTCCGATTATATCATCTAGGTTTGATAGATAGAGACTATGGTGAGGAGATTGGTTTGCAGGTGTTGGACTTGATGGATGTACAAGAAATTTGTGGTTAATGGTTACTGGGATATGGAGATGAGAGAAATGGAGCTCTTGGATGCAAGAATCCATTTTGAAAATTTTAAATGCAATGGTTTAATTTGACTTTATAACACAC